CACAGGCAGCTACTGTTTCACAAGTGGCTGTGCCAGCTGCTCTGATGATCGCACTCACTGCCTACAACGTGGGAAGACACTGTTTCATAGCTGAGGACAGTTTTCTATTGCATATTCCTCTCATCTACGTAAAAGTTACCTCCAGCTCGCTTTCAGCCCTTGGCCAGGGGAACCACTGTCCTGGTTTCCACAATAACGGAGTACAAATTGATGCCATCAAAGCTCTCCGTTCAGTAACTTTGTCAGTCTCCAAAAGGATTCCTTCCCCTCCTAAAACCCAAACACCCCTTCTTTAGATCTGACCTTTAAAACAGTCTACCCCCCCACAGAAAGCACCCCGACAGAATGCCAATGAACAAAACTTAGAAAATCAACAAATGTTAATAGTGGGTGACAGTTTGATAGGAACTGGGTATTTAATAGGCTCCGGTTATCTCCCACAAATTACTGACTATAAAGGGAAAAAGCGACTTCATAAGTGATTCAGGTTATTATCACAATGTGTCACTAGATATGATGCACTGAGAACAGTCTCATTCTTGTGATATTTCTGCCAAAAATGCAATCATGAGGAGACATCAGACAAACCCAAATTGAGAAAACTTCTACAAAATATCCATCCTTTACTCTTCAAAAATGGCAAGGTCAAGAAAGGCCAAGGACCTGTTCCAGTTTAAAAGAGACTAAATAAATCATTGACAACTAAATGCAACAAATGATCCTGGGCCAATTGAAAAAAATGTATAAAGGATGTTATTAGACAACTGACAAAATATGAATACTGTGGATGAGACAAGATTACATCAAAGCTATTTTCCTGGTTTTGATAGGCAGACACTATAGTTATATGAGAATATCCCTGGAAATACACAAAATTTTAGGGATAAAACAGAAAGATGTAACTTACCTTCCAGAGGGTTTAGGAAAAAACAGCGTAAATGAAACAAATTATTATTGGTGAATGGCAAAGGGTATGTAATTTTTTGTACTATATTGCAAGTTTTTCCTAATTTTGAAATTTTATCAAAATAACTATAGAAGAAGCCTGCATGCCTCTTTCAATGCTTTTCACTAAAAGGAATTGAGTACCTTAAATAGATATTGACACTTTAGGGCTGTTAAGAACTGAACCATGATTTAAATCCTGCCTCTGTTAACAACTTCCCATACAAGTAACATACCTTTCCCAGTAATGATCTCAAAAATGGGTGCAAGTTTCTGGATGTTAACAATAAATAATATAAATTACACGTGAGAGTTTCTTAGTAGAAGGTATACTACTTAAATATCACTTGACTATGTAAAATTCAGATGAGCTATGATCAAACTACCTGGGAAACATTAATTTTACCAAGTTTGCATCTCCAGAAAGATGCATAAGAAACTAGTAATCCTGGCTTCCTCCAAGGGGTCAAGGATGGAATTTACTGTTTATTGACTTTTTGTATTTACCTTCTGATTTTTTTTTTTTCTTTTTGTGGTACGCAGGCCTCTCACTGTTGTGGCCTCTCCCGTTGCGGAGCACAGGCTCCAGACGCGCAGGCTCCGGACGCGCAGGCTCAGCGGCCATGGCTCAGGGGCCCAGCCGCTCCGCGGCATGTGGGATCTTCCCAGACCGGGGCACGAACCCGTGTCCCCTGCATCGGCAGGCGGACTCACAACCACTGCGCCACCAGGGAAGCCCTACCTTCTGATTTTTGAACCATGATTCCTTTCTATTCACTTTATCACTTTATTAAGTACTGTGCTGGTGGCCCATCTGTGAAGTTGTTATAAGACAGCCAGGCAAATCTAAACAAGCTATTTAGGATCTAGAAGACCAATTAACACAACTGCAAATACACATCCTTTTAGTGAATGGAAGCATACATGGTGTTAGGGACACAAAGATGTATCTTGTTCAAGATGTGGTTGCTGCCTCAAAAAGCTCAGTATTTTGGGACTTCCCCGGCGGTCCAGTGGTTAGGACACCTCACTTTCACTGCCGAAGCTGCGGGTTCGATCCCTGGTTGGGAAACTGAGATCCCACAAGCCGCACAGCTTGGCCAAAAAAAAAAAAAAAAAAAAAAAAAAGAAAGCAAGTCGCAGAACACACTCATGGTATGAATAGCTTACTGAAGCACATAGGAATTACGACTGGAGAAGTCTGGGCAAATACAGTGTGTTAGAAGCAGCTACCTTAGTAAGTGGACTCTAAAAGAGTGATACTTTATATTCCAAGGACATACTACTTTTGTAATTAAAAATTAAATTAGGAACTTAAAACATTCCAAAACATTCCAAGATTTGTGTACAACCACAAAACCTGGATGAAGGTAGAAAACAGTGCTTTCTGAAAGCAATGTAAATAAAAGTGAAATCAGGTGGGAAAAGATGACTGAGCTCCCTAGTTTATCTGAGTAATTGTCACAGAAAATGTTCAAACTGCTACAAGATAACAATGGGTAAATTCTGTGTTAAAACTAAAGCAGGGCAATAGGAGAGACTTAGCATGTTTAGTCCTTTGTAACAGCATAGTTACTTATTATGGTATTGTTCTAAGTACTTCTCACATATTAACCTTTCATCTTCACCACCCATGAGGGGTTATCCTTACCACTTTGCAGATGACACTGAAGCACGAATGTTAAGTACTTGCCCCAGTTAAACCATCTACTATGTTGATCCTAACCTCATGTTTCTGAGGAGCTGAAAACAAGACCTTTGCTCATACTCAAATCAGGAATGAAACTTGCCAACAGCAATTCCAATTCAAAAAACCATCTGCCAAATATTTGGCACTAAGTGGGAATACACAATAAACTCAAAACAAGCCTTTCCCTCGGTGAACATTTTATTGAAGTAATAAAGCACAAAGCAGGTTAACAAAGTCGGAGAAAGAAGATACCAAGAGAAAAGATGGTAACAACACAGGAGTGGAACGTTAAGTCACAGGAGCAGGAAGGACTGGAACTGGCCATAAAGGCACTATGGCACGTCCACACGCTATCACATAAAAGAAAGGGGGATCCAGTTATCATTCACTTCTAGTTTGCTCTCCACCAGGTTAATACTCCATCCAGCCACAGATGAACATGTGGCAAGTTGCAGAGACTCAGATTCTACTTCAAAGTTAGCAAGGAACTAAACATTTCACTGGTCAAGTGGGCCAGTGTTATAAATACAGTGGTTTAGCACGTCCAATGATGTAGGTCCACAGGTGTGGGATAGGAACCAGAATTTTAATAAGTTGGCCTTTGCTGCTGAATTCTTATGGGTGCAGACATTTACCTATACAATTACCCACAGTGGGGGGGGGAGCTAACAATGCAAACAAACCTGCCTACTACCATGCGATGGAATATCGACACAAGAAAGCCCAGTTGAAGGATGCTGCATACTTTTAGAAAGCCTAATTTCACATTGTAGTACTCCCCTCTTTCATTTTAACAGGCTGTGGTTTTAAAAGCTTTTGTTCTTTCGCTGAAAACAGAACTTTGGTCAAAGCCAATTCTTAAAAGTAACTTGTCCTTAAACGTAATTTGAAAGGCAGTGGAGGCTTGCTTCCTCATGTAAGAGGCCTAACTTTTGTTCTTTCAAACAGGCAAAACAATGAACTATAATTACAGATACCAGTTTCTTCTCTCAAAATCTAAAGTTTATATTGAAAAAAAAAAACCCAAACAAACCGTATTTCTTATGAACATCTAAAAAAATATCAAAAGCATTAAAGAAAATAAGGTCTTGGAAGAAGCATCAACCTTCTGGGGCACTATGTTCCTAAGATTAGGCTCTAAGATTTCATAACAGGAAGCCCAGAAATTATTAGAACAAGTCTTTTTACATGAGCAAACACTAGCAGTTACAGTGTCATTTTGGCATCTAGATCTTTGACTCAACCTTTTCCATGCAGTCTCAATTTTATTAGGCTTGCCTTCTGAATTATCTGAACCTACAAACCAGCTCTAAATTATGACACTTTCTAGTCCCCCCTGCAGCACAATGAGTGGTACCCACCATACCCTAACACTACCCAGCCCTTAACACCTTATATAGAGTGATAGCTCCCAGGAAGATGTTAAAGCTGAGCCATATAACCTACATCTTAATTTCAGACTAAGATTAATGAGTGCTTTTAATGAAATTACCTTATTTAAAGAATCTGGAGAGAGATATATATATAAGGTAATTCATTTCTCAAACTGCAATCTCAACTAACTAGGCTTAACAGATGTATGGACTAATTGGTAACCCAGTAACTCCTACAAACTTGCAGTATTATAAAATTTGGTTCCCACAGTATTCATTACCCTTCATGATGAAGTACAGAAGTTTAGGGTTAACCCGTTTAAATTTTTTCCAAGCCAACCACATAAAGTTTTACAAGGATGATCTAACCAATTATCACAGAACCCCACTGACTAAAGGCGACTGACTGTTAGGTGGAATTTTACTTTAATCAGTAAAACTGACTTATCAAGCGATCTGTTTTAAGTGCCTGTTAAGGATCTTTCAGTAGAAAATGAAATATTTGCTTTTCCATTTTGAATAACACACCAAATTTCTGATCGAAGAAAGGTTACTTCCATTTTTACATAACAAACATTAAAGACCACGGAACCTTACTCTAACAAAACACTAATTACAATGACCACTTCCAGAAAGTGGGATTACCAGGCTAGATAAGATCCCAAGTAACAGGAACTATTTTTTGAAGAGTTCAATCAATTTAAGTTTGAAAAAGGTTTCATTATTTAAAAAAATCTATTAATTTAGGCAAAATTGTATAACAGATCGACTATAAAATCTTTTATTTTTAACTTAACCTGTTTAGGGGGCCAATATGACTTTGGCAAATTTGAATAACAGGACAAAATAATGTTATCCAAATTGAATAATTTATTGCTGGTCTGAGACTTGCCTTGTTTTACACTTAAGTAGGATTTACATTACTTCCACAGATAGCAGATAATCAATATTTAAAGGAATTTAAGAGTGACCTATTCAATAAGGCAATCATCTTGGTAGCAAACTTTTATTGAAATCTTACATAACTCAAGCTTTATAAAAAGCCAACATAATTGGAAATTGGGTTCTCCCTCTAAAGACTGAAGTGTTCAAAGCTTGAAACGGTTAATTTAAAATTAAGCAAACAAATATAACAATGACAGAAACCCCTGCAGCAGATGCTGCTGAAATACTTAAAAAAAAAATCTAAATGAGCTTAATCTTTACAAAAGTTATTTTAGCTCAAAAGCTATAAAATCAAAGTTATTTTAATTCTACAAAGGGAAAAGATCTTTGACTTCATGCCATTTCTTTAGAACCACCTCATCTTTTTCATCAAATTTGGCTACAAATCCAATTTTTGTATGCCCCTGTTTTCGGGAGACTCTTCTTGCAGAAGAGGCCAAGTACAAACGTGGAAGAGTAACTGCCTAAGCAAGTAGGAAAGTGTTCCGTAATAGTGTGCAAAGAATGTAGAGTTCTGGGTTAATCTCTGGAACTCGATCTGGATCGTGACCTTGACTTTGAATGAGATCTAGAATGGGATCTTGAAGCTCTTTTTGGTGGAGGGGACACAGAACGGGCCTTTGAGGGTGGAGCAGGTAGGGGTGAATTGGAACGAGACTGGCTCCTTGATCTGGATTTCGACTTTATATCACCTTTCCCATTTTCTTTGGGGGAACGAGATCGAGAACGAGACCTGCTTCGAGATTTCTCATATTCATCCTTCGACCTGCTCCGAGAGCGCGAACGGGAGCCTCGATCAGACTTAGGTTTAGATTTGCTTTTTGATCTAGATTTCCTGCCTTTTGAACGAGAACGTGATCGACCTTTGCTCCGAGACCTGGATCTAGACAATAAAAGCCAGATTTTTTTTTCAGTACCTTGCCAAACACATAAGCACTCTATAAACATAAAGTATGTAATTCAGAAAAACACTCAAGGACACATTTACCGGGAGCGACTTTTTGAGATACTTCGAGATCTACTGCGGCTGCTCCTACGACTCCTACTTCGTGACCTTCTTCTAGACCGTGACCTGTAACAAGAAACGTAACAATAAATCTTTATCTCAAGACATCTTGATGTGAATGTTTGTATAATTTATGAAAAATAGACTAACCAACAATTGCTCTGATGATGCAACAAAAGAAACTAAGAAATGACCTAATTTCAAATAAGCAGTAATTGAAATACTGCTGATTGAATTTTATTTGTGGCAAATACTGTTTCCTCCCTTCTCCATATCCTTCAATAAGTTACCTTGATCTGCTTCCAGAATAAGACCGCCTGTGGCTTGTTCGTGGTTTATCTTCAATTAGTCTAATATTTCTCCCATTGATTTCCGTACCATCCAGCTTATCCAAAGCACGCTTCATGTCAGAGTAGGAGCGAAACTCAATGACGCCTTCATTTGTGCGTTCTTTGTGAGCATCCGCATAGGTTACTTCACCTGCTTGTCTCATGAAATCCTAAAAAGAGCAACAAGACTGGTCAGATCCCAAAATCTAAAGAAAAAACAACTATGCATTAAATCCAATCCTCAGAAATAAAAAAGCAATACAAAACCCTACCTTTTAACCATTAGTCATATCTTTTTTACCTCGCATTGTAACTTACCTTTAAATCTTGCCAACTGCAACGACTAGAAAGATTTTCTACAATAAGCCTGAATTCTGTGCGTACAGGTGGTCCATATTTGTCTCTGCCAGAGGTTCTCCGACTGCTGTATCCACCTCCACCACCTTTATCACATGAAGAGAACAATTAGATGCTTTGTAGTGATAGGGATACATGTTTCTGAAAGTTAGTACAAACATATCAACTTTTATTTACTGGAGTAGGACTTTGCTACTATATTGCTAAACCTTTGATACAGTTGTGATTTGCCATAAATTAAATTAAGGGCAAGTCAAATAGACTAAATCCAACTAAACTCTCCTACATTCTGTTAGAAAGTGACTGCTCCTTTATTCAATTTACCTCGCTAAGTTTTATTTTACAGAACATTGTAAAATATAAAACTTAACTGATTACATGCATTTCTACATTTTACAAAAATGTTTACTAGTTACACTAAGTACTTACATCACAGTGTGAGGTTTTTGGTGGTGGTTTGGCCACAAAACACGCAAGGTAACAGTCACCTAGTTCAGATTAACCAGTTTTGTCTAACCCTTGGAATCCTCACCATCACCCTGCGTCTAATGGCAAAAGGCTGCTGTCGTCATGGCTTCCGGTAAGGTCAGCCAAAGGGTCATAGGGCAAGGGTCACACAATGTATGGAAAAGCCAAGGCCAATCAGGAAAGGCAGTCATCTTAGCCTCAGTGGACACAGCCTCAGCCCCATTGGTCACTTTCAAATTGAAACATCAAGGACTTGTTAAAAAGTTTGAATTCAACATGCAACAATTTCAACATCAAACATTTAACATAACCAAAAATCCCCCCACCTCCTCCCAATAACATGCCCCAACTAGTTCCAATACAGCATAAAGCTCATTTAAATCTACTTTGTGGTAGACTACCACATTACTTCTAAAGAATATTTCCTTTGGCCCCCGCCAACTTGAATAACATCTCAATAAGTGAACTTCTCTGCTTTTCCTCTTAGAGCTGATCTCACCACCTTGTTTCCTAACAACCCCACCTCCACCCCAGCCTGTCCCCAAACTTCTAGGCTAAATCATTCACATTCCCAGCTAATGCACTGACAGGTAAGTAAGGGGCATGCAACAAATACAGCCATCCCTCACTTCCTCCGTAGGCAGAGCCCACGACAGTGCTGACAGGGGCCCAGCACGTCACCCCCTCCCAACTTAGCAACCCCGCCCCCAAACACCCAAACCCTGGCTAGGCAAAACCCCCCACCCAATCCCCGCGCTCCGGCGTCCCGTGTCTTCACCGGGCAGGCGTGAAGGCAGCGGGCCCCGGGGACACCCGAGTCAAACGACCCCGGCCACCGCACCTGCCCGGCTGGGAGGCCCCACCCCGGCCCCCCTAAGCCTGCGCCCGCCCCCCGGGGTCCCAAGGACGCGGAGCGCGCGGGGGTGGGACTCACTGCGGCTTCCGTAGCTGTAGCCGTCACGATCGCGGCGCGGGCCCCGGGCGTGCTCCACGATCACGCGCTCGCCGCAGAGCTCCTTGCCGTTCAGCTCGTAAACGGCGTCGTCGGCGTCGCGGGAGTCCTCGAACTCCACGAAGCCGTACCTGGGGGGCGGTGCGAGGGCGGGAGACCGGCGGGAGTCGTTAGGCCGGGGGCGCGCACGCACGCGCCCCCGCTCCCCCCGCGCGCTCCCGCAGCCCCGTGCCGCCGCCATCTTGGCGGCCCTGCCACGCGGCGCCGCGGCCTTGGCCGTCTTCTCCTTCCGCCGTTGCCCTGCCGCCGCAGGCCCGGGGCGCTGCGGGCGGACGTGGGCACCCAAGCCCGACTCACCCATTTTTAAGGTCTATTTCGAGAAGGCGGCCATAGCCACTGAAAAAGCGCTGGATGTCCTTCTCCCGGACGTTGTAGCTCAGGCGTCCTATGTAGACGCGCGGCATGTCCGTGGCGGGCGAGGGGCCCGAGGGCTGGCTGTCGAACGGCTGACCGCAAGGCAGAAGCCGCGGTGCGGGTGCGGGGACGGCGAGAGCCCGGACACACACCTCCCTCCGCAGCGGCGGCCGAGTCCAGCCACACAATGGTGCGCGCGCGCCTGGGCTACGCTATAAGGGCGGGCGGCTGTGGGTGGGGCCCGGCGTGTGGCGTCAGCGCGCTGCACCTACCCTCCCGCGCTTTAACCCGGAGCGCTGGGCGCGAGGGTGACTTGCGAGTTCTTCGCCCGCCAAGTTTCGGGGGAGTGAGGTTCTACCAGCTCATCGAATTTTCTCCACACATCCTTGTAAACGTCGTATTCCGTCTCCAGCCGCGGACTTGTTTTCTAATTTGTACTTAAAATAAAAAAACGAACCGTTCCTCTGTGTGATCGCTCCAGGACTGGCGCTAGGAGAATCCCCTTTTTCATTGGTTCTCGAGGTTGTCATAATAGGCCTCCGCGGTCTCTGATTGGTCCCGGGAAACGAGGCTCGAATTTTCTCCGCGGGTCGTTCGGCTCACGCTCGGCTGGTGGGGAAGGTGCTTTCGGACACAGTCGATTAGGTACCCTTTTCCACAGCGTCCGAGGTTTGCGCTCCGAGGTCGTGGGGACCCGGCCGGGCGCGCACAGCCCTGCTGGCTTCTATCCCTCTTGGTCTCAGCCGTCATCGTGGTCTCACAGCCGTCATCGTGGTCTCACTTCACCGCCTCCCTGTACGTCCACCTCTCCTTCCATGGGTCTTTCTTGGAGCACTGGCACCTGGAGCCACCTATAGATTGAGGTGTATATGGCAGTCTCACGCTCGCTGTAATTGCCGACGAAAGGAGCAGGGCCAAGGCCTCTGGCCCAAGAAAGTTGAGCAAGACCTGGCAGTCCTGCCCCAGAGGTACGCTCATGTTCTCCCCACTGTGGAGAGTCCGTTGTCCCAACGCGATCCCTTCCCCCATTGGTTTGGAAGGCATCTTAATCTATGTGGCAGAAACGCACATTTTGGAGTTTATCACTAGAGATGCCATTTAAAGCTGGAGAACTAGAGGAATAAGTTTAAGTGGAGAGCAGAAGACCCTGGAGTCCTCTGAAACTTCAGTTCAGGAAAAGGTGCTGGGAAGAAGTGACCAGAGAGGTGGGAAGGAGAGCTGGAGGGCGTGGTGTCACACAAGCTGAGAGGAAATGGCATCACGGGGATAATACTGGCTGTTTAGGTATCTCCGTATATTCCAGCTCTTCGTGAGTGGTGCAACCTTGGTATTCTACAGGATCTGTTGAAAGGGGGCGATTTTGCCCCCACCAGGGGACGTTTGGCAAAGTCTGGGGTCTGTTGGCTGTCACGACTAGGGGAGGGGGAGTGTTAATAACTGGCATCTGATGGTAGAGACTACACTGTCTGTGCTTAAAGTTAGGTAAGTAAAATATATAGGTGGATCTTAAAAAAGTTGTGTGTGTGGCATATAGTAATTAGGGAAAGAAGAATTAATGGGATAACATTTTTTTCACTCATTGAATTGTCAATATTTTAAAGTTTGTTCAAATTCATTGTTGGAGGGGAATTCCCTGGCTGTCCAGTGGTTAGAACTCCATGCTTTCACTGCCTTGGCGCACAGGTTTGATCTCTGGTTGGGGAACTAAGATCCCACAAGCCACGCAAAAATTCATTGTTGGCAAGAGGTGAACCAGGAAATGCCACTCTGAACATTCCTTTTGGGAAGGTAATGGGGTGGTACTTAGAAGCATATGGGGAGTGGGGTGTCACCTCCTCTCTCCTTTCAGTTCATTTGCCCAAAGAGAAGGATGTAGCTGACGTTGTCCTCCACACTCTCTCACCTCTCTTCCTCCAGAGCCCAGTGACTACTCCTTTTTTTTTTTTTCGGTCGCGCAGCAGCATGCAGGATCTTAGTTCCCCGACCAGGGATTGCAACCATGTCCCCTGCAGTGGAAGCACGGAATCCTAACTACTAGACCGCCAGGGAAGTACCATCCACTGACTACTCTTAACAAAAAATTGGAATTGCCTAAGAGGAAACAGTCTCACAGCATCATTGAAGGGAGTGTTGGGTCATCAGCTTTCTGTGGAGTCTTGCTGATAATCTAACTCATCTCTGTTGATATTTTGGAAGAACAACTCAAAGGAGAAATGATGGATGTACAGCATGTGGCGGTGTCTGAAGTGTCTATAAACATGGTGGCAGATAAAGATCACTGCTCATTTGAAAGTTGTGGAGTTGCTGACAGGAGTCTGTCAGAAAGAGAGGGAGAGGAGCCTCAATCTGATACAGAAGAGAGTTAATAACTTCAAATCCATAATTACCCAGATTGTAAAGTACAGTCTGGAGCAGGGCATAGTTGTGATTTTCAGTCCAGTGGGTATTCTTACTTTTGGAAACCAAAAGTATTTCCCAAGCTTTGAAGTGATGTAAGCTGGATTCTGATAGGCTGTCTTATGTTTGAAAAATTTATCAATCCAGAGGCTGTCAATTTGAATGGATTTTGGGAAAACATGGCAACTCAAGAGGGTGGAGTGCAATGACTGTGGCAAACTATGGCCCCAGACCAAATCAGGCCTGCTTTCGGGTTTTGTAAATAAAGTTGTGTTAGAGCACCGCCACACCCTCTTACTTACCTAGTGTCTGCTCTTAAGCCACAACAGAGATATTGAGTAGCAGAGACTGCCCGCAAAGCCTAAGATATACACTAGTTGGTTCTTCACAGAAAAAGTTTGCCTACCCCTGGTCCATGTTAGGGACTTGTAAAGATTCCTGTGGTATGTTGTTAAGTGAGAAAGGCTAGTTTTAATATATGCATGACCCTATTCTAATTTTTTTTTTTTTTTTTGCTGTACGCGGGCCTCTCACTGTTGTGGCCTCTCCTGTTGTGGAGCACAGGCTCCGGACACGCAGGCTCAGCGGCCATGGCTCACGGGCCCAGCCGCTCCGTGGCACGTGGGATCTTCCCGGACCGGGGCATGAACCCGTGTCCCCTGCATTGGCAGGCGGACTCTCAACCCCTGTGCCACCAGGGAAGCCCTGACCCTATTCTTATAAACAACAACAATCACCCCAAGCCTCAACCCTATATATGAACATATATGTGTGTAAGGGTTGGGTTTGTGGTTGTCTTTGAGCGTCCGTGGGGGTGAGTCCTACCCAATCATGTGCCTGCTAATCCTCTCCTAGCGTTCCTTACTCCTCCTCCCACTTGCTTCTTACTGTACCTTGAATGTGCCAAGCACCCACCCACCACAGGGCCTTTGCCCTGACTGTCTCCCAGTATCTGGAGCTCTCTTTTCCAATGGTTTGTTCCCTCATTTCTGGTTTCTGCTCAAAATCACCTTATCACTCTTCTAACTACTCACTTTATTTTTTCCCAGTTTTATTGAGATAGTATTGACATATAATACCTGTAAGTTTAAGATGTAAAATATGATGATTTGATACATGTATATGTTGCAAAACGATTACCACAATAAGGTTAGTTAAGACCTAAATGTAAGGCCAGAAACTATCAAACTCTTAGAGGAAAACATAGGCAGAACACTCTATGACATAAATCACAGCAAGATCCTTTTTAACCCACATCCTAGAGAAATGGAAATAAAAACAAAAATAAACAAATGGGACCTAATGAAACTTAAAAGCTTTTGCACAGCAAAGGAAACCATAAACAAGACCAAAAGACAACCCTCAGAATGGGAGAAAATATTTGCAAATGAAGCAACTGACAAAGGATTAATCTCTAAAATTTACAAGCAGCTCATGCAGCTCAATAACAAAAAAACAAACAACCCAATCCAAAAATGGGCAGAAGACCTAAATAGACATTTCTCCAAAGGAGATATACAGATTGCCAACAGACACGTGAAAGAATGTGCAACATCATTAATCATTAGAGAAATGAAAATCAAAACTACAATGAGATATCATCTCACACCAGTCAGAATGGCCATCATCAAAAAATCTAGAAACAATAAATGCTGGAGAGGGTGTGGAGAAAAGGGAGCCCTCTTGCACTGCTGGTGGGAATGTGAATTGGTTCAGCCACTATGGAGAACAGTATGGAGGTTCCTTAAAAAGCTACAAATAGAACTACTGTATGACCCAGCAATCCCACTACTGGGCATATACCCTGAAAAAACCATAATTCAAAAAGAGCCATGTACCAAAATGTTCATTGCAGCTCTATTTACAATAGCCAGGATGTGGAAGCAACCTAAGTGTCCGTCATTGGATGAATGGATAAAGAAGGTGTGGCACATATATACAATGCAATATTACTCAGCCATAAAAAGAAAAGAAATTGAGTTATTTGTAGTGAGGTGGATGGACCTACAGTCTGTCATACAGAGTGAAGTAAGTCAGAAAGAGAAAGACAAATACCGTATGCTAACACATATATATGGAATCTGAGGAAAAAAAATGTCATAAAGAACCTAGGGGTAAGACGGGAATAAAGACACAGACCTACTAGAGAATGGACTTGAGGACACGGGGAGGGGCGAGGGTAAGCTGTGACAAAGTGAGACAGTGGCATGGACATATATACATTACCAAACGTAAAATAGATAGCTAGTGGGAAGCAGCCGCATAGCACAGGGAGATCAGCTCGGTGCTTTGTGACCACCTAGAGGGGTTGGATTAGGAGGGTGGGAGGGAGGGAGACGCAAGAGGGAAGAGATATGGAAACATATGTATATGTATAACTGATTCACTTTGTTATAAAGCAGAAACTAACACACCATTATAAAGCAATTATACGCCAATAAAGATGTTAAAAAAAAAAAGGTACAAACTTCTAGTTATAAGATAAGGACTAGGGATGTAATGCACAACATAATGAATAGAGCTAACACTGCTGTGTGATATGTAGGAAAGTAGTTAAGACGGTAGATCCTGAGAGTTCTTATCACAAGGACAAAACATTTTTTTCCTTTTTTTTCTTTTTCTTGTACCTTTATGAGATGATGGATACTAAATATACTTATTATAGTACTCATTTCACAATATATGTAAAAAGCCCAAACATGTTGTACGTCTTAAACTTCTACAGTGATGTATGTCAATTATATCTCAATAAAACTGGGGACAAATGAAGTAAATTAAAAACAAAC